TTCTTTTATTTAATTTTTTAAAAAAAAAATGTCCAATTATAAAAATTTAAGAAGCAGAGAAAATAATACGAGGAATGTGAGTAAGTGTTTTAAGGATGGTGGTGGTGGTTATCGCCCGCCACTCGTCGTTACTCTAGTTTATCTTTTGAAAGGTCAAACCAATTGATTCCGAATCAGTGATAGATGAAGGACCTCTCCTATCTCAAGGTACATAATTTTATCTTTTTAGGTTTGTTTTTGATCTGATCTCAGAAGAAGTGATTGATTTTAATAATTTTGGTAAAGATTTTGGCGAAAACTCCGGAGATTTCGAAGACACATACATACAAGGTCATATTGAAGATAGTAACAATTCACCAACTTATGATGGTAATAATGAATATGATGGTAACGGGACGATTAATGGTGATGAGGATAATAGAATGATTATTGGTCAACAAGCATCTGATCAAAATATAAATGAACTTAATGATGTTGAGGATTCCCCTGGAGATCATGATAGAAAAAGAATTAGATTTGTCTGAGATTTTAATCTTCGCCATCAAAGTCACAAAAATAATGTTGGGTCTCCAGTGAAAAGACGTCGTAAAAATCAAAAGGTGAGTATCACAGAAATTTGATCTTTATTATTTATACATAAATATAATATTTCAAAATATATAGGATCCACAACCAATATCAACATTGTCATCTCCTCCACAATCACCAATACCACCTTCAGAAATAAGTTTTTCTGGAAATGATTTGATTTGCTTGGAGTGCCCTATTTACTGCAATAATCAATCTATCTAATTCAAACCTTAAATTTACTACCATCAAGAAAACCAAAACTTGAATCAGCAACAATTAATCAGCCTTACATTGCTTTTTTGCAAGTTGGATTGATCGAAAAAATTCACCATATAATTCATCAAGAGATGTTATTTTATGATATATTAAAAGCTTAAAGAAAACAATAACGCATATTTTCATGTATATTATTATTAAAATATTTACTAATTTTATTTTCTAGATTAAATGAAAAACATATCAATCTTTACTATATTTTTAAAATTACATACAATAAAAATTATTATAATTTGCAACATTCACATTTTCTGAAAAGTTCATACATTTTCAGTGCAAATATGTATGGGGAAGTGCTCTTTTAATGTATAGTTCCATATACATATATTCCCCCACAAAATAGACAAATATATGGAAAAATCATACACAACTGTTATTATATACTGTCTTTCGGTATACTGTCTTTTGATTAGCTCACGATATATACCAGATGAGCATGGTGAACATTCTTATCATTGGTAATGATTTTCGTCGATCAGATTACACAAAAAAGAAAATTTGATTGGCCCGAATAGATTACACAAAAATTTAGAGAAGAGGCTTCGTGACGTATAAGTTTTATCAAGTAGATATTGGAAGCAAATAATGCAAAACCATTAATTTAACAATAATCAAGAACAAACTACCTTGTTTCTGTTATTTATGAAATAAAATATATATTATACAAATTTAACAAATTTATTAATTTACAATAATTACAGAAACAACTTACCTTGTTTCTTTTGCTTGTGTTCTAAGGAAACAAAACCATTAATTTAACAACAATTATGGAACAAACACCCTGTTTCTATTATCCACGCCTAATAACAAGAAAAAATAAATATATTATACAAAACTATTAATTTAACAATAATTATCGAATGAATACCTTGTTGTATCCTCCTTCAGTTTTTCCTTTAATAGTTTCATTTATTGTTTAAAAGTTTTAATTTCTTTACAAAGTGCACATTTGGCTTTTTTTTACTATTACACCTTGAAAATGTTTTAAAAGATATCAAGTTCGTCCACCCAACTCCCAGTTATGCTTTATTTTTCTATACTTCAGAGCTTACTCTAATTTCATTGCAAATTACACATCTGCCACATAATACCATATTGAAAATGGTAATACTAAGTAAAGTATGTCAAAATCGTGGATGCTGACAGATGCAGCTGGAATTAAGTAAAATATTAAAGAATATCTCTGTAAAGTTACAGTACATGTTACATATCAATGTGTCACCACTTTAATTGAACAATAAAGTTTTTTACTTTAAAATTACATTACATGCATAAAAAATTAATGTAACATTTCAAATGTCCACCATGCTATTTTGAAGTTGGCCAATTGTTATTTATTATATAGTGCAGGACATCTATAACAGTCAATGATTATCACATGACTTTAAAAGTTTATAACTCCTTATTAAAAAAGAAAAAGAAAAAAGTAAACTGATATAATTAAAGCTAAATACCTAAGCTTCATTTCCATCAGTTTACTTTGTTTATCTTATTAAAAAAGTTTTGAGTTATAAGGCTTCAAAGTTAGACCATTTTATATGTAAATTGTAAGATTTCAGAATGATCTTCCCTTGTGATTCCCTAAAAGGCCGATGATCGGCTTAAAAAATTTTCGTGATACGGACCATCTTTCCAATAAAAGAAATTTGATTACTTAAATTAGAAAGATCTTCTAAAAATTTTAAATTTTGGACTGTGACCGTTATAGATGTCCTGCACCATAAGATTATAGATGATCTGTACTGTATATAGAGGTAATTCTATATATCATCTAATATTAAGAGGATAATCACACTACTAAATTTTGATCCCTGAAATTCTTGGTAATACCAATGTTCACTTTGTCTGGTTTTGCCCCATATTACAGTCATTTTTGTCCACTATAACGAATTTCCACTATAAAGAAAAATCTCTTTATAGTGGACTTATTATAGACAAATTGAAAAGTCCCATTATGGGCTAGAAATAGTACTTTAAAAATCTGGATTTTCCTTTAAAATTTTTAACTTCCGGAAAAAAAAAGAGTTGCAGATATTTTTATTTTTGGGTAATATTATATACAGAAAGGTTCTTTTTATGAAATATACAGAACCTATGTGACAAATAAGAATTAATTCTTAGAGTTGGTAAACACTGTGTAATTCCTGCCACCCCCAGCCCACAAATTTAATCATCAC